TAAGTGTAACACCCCTTTACTACACGTGTAACCCCCTTTATGACAGTGTCAAAATACTTTGGGCTGCATGTATAATTTTATATAAAAATTTAAAATATTTAATTACTTTGCTGCTTTTTAATTTGACCAAGATCTCTCTCATGCTTTTCAATCTTGTGAGTGTGCAATATAGGTGGGTGTCTAAACTAAATTATTTAGACATTTAGACAATCATGTCTCAATTGTCTAAAATGCTGAAATTGAATTTTTTATTGAATAATTTACTGAACTTTGTAGATTTTGAGTATGTGCACGTGACTTTTAGTTGTATTTAAAGCAAATCATTACTATTTATATTAATTAGACATTTAGACATTTTTGTCTAAATATGTACTAATTTGACTTTAGAAACCCCAAAAACAATTTAGACGCCCATCTATAGTGTGCACCCTTTTCACATTAATAAATCTTGAATAAAAATTGCATTATTTAAAGAAAAACTTTAATATCTACAAAAATTCATCATGATCCCAATGCCTCAACAATAAAGAATTTTCTTTTCTTTGTTTTTTTTGTTTACTATTTTATCACTCAAAGTTAAATTTATGTAAAAGTCATTCTACATACCAATATTAACAGCTTATGTGTGTTTCAAATTCAAATTTTCAAGCACATCATTAATACTATTGCATTTTATACATAGTCAACTTCAAAGGCAAAATTCAAAAAAACATCAGGTTAACACAACTCATATGTATGTAAAGACAATTGGGTTTTTTCATTTTATGAAATGTAATAGCTTTAATTTGTAAAAATGAAGAGGTATGAAAAAATAAGTAATTTTATAATAATAATTTAATTAAAATTTAAATTATTATCATCAATAGGGGAAAAACAAGAATTTCAAATTAGATGATTTGATGCTGAACAAGGAGGAAATGGTTACTTTTACTTTTATTTTCCTGATGTTTATACCTAAATTTACTAGGTTCATATCATGTCTTTTCTGTTCCTTTGCATAGTAATAGTATAGTAATAGTATGGATTCTGTACCTTCCATATGTGTTGAAAAACTATTTTAATATTTAATATTTTAATTATTGTTATTGTCATTATTAACTATGACACATTGCCATCATGTCATCATATCTTTTTTTTAAAAAAATTAATAACTGAAAATAATAATAATTATAATAATTAATAAATTTCTAAATCAGTATTTACATAATAAAGACAGGTTAGGTATTTGTTTAAATTAATTTCTCTGATTGTTTTCTGCAGGATATGTCAAATATTTATTCTCTCTCACTTTTATATTAATATGATTATATAATGATAATGAAAGGGTCGCAATACTTCAAATCCTCTTTTTTTTAATATTATTATATCGTTGATAGATGAAATCTAAAAAATTAAAACAGGTGAATATTTCTTAAAAAAATTTTTTTGTAGGTTTAATTTTTAGTAATCTTTTCTACCAACGATAAAAAAATGGAAGACATTTTTGTTCTATATATATGAAAATCAGTTCTTAATTTGGAAATTTTATCCGTTTTTAATTGCCTTTTTTCGAAAAGTTCCTTTCTAAACAAAAAAATATTAGATTCTTTTATTACATTCGCATCATGAAATTTCATCGGCTTAGTATTAGAAGAGCTACAGAATAAAAAAGCTCTAGGTGAAATTAGGAAAATCAAATCAAATCAAATTCAAATTCGTTTCATCCCATAAATGTGGTTTCTCTTACTTTGTACTAGACTTGTTGAGCAAGCTCTACAACAACTCTATCCCTCTTTGGTAAGTTAGAATTGACAAAAAATTTTGTGCACTTGTTATTTGCTGTTTGTCAATCAAGATCAAAGTGGAAATTTGTGCCAATGTCAATAGAAAAGATAGTAGCAAACTCACATTTTTTGCCGGAACATTTACTATTGACAAGATACAATACTGTAATAATAATAAATGAATAAGGTTTGCGTAACAATTTCCGAAAGCGTACAAATAATCGATGAATGACATATTATTGTTATGAACTTTATTGATTGATCATCATAAGTTGTTTAAATTATCTTGCTAAACATGACTTCTATATATACGGTAGTTTGAATAATAATTTATTTGTTTATTGATAAATATAATTGATAATTAATTTTTTTTTCCTCAAAGATCAATTATGCTTTACGTGCACATAAACGTGATCCTTTTATAGAATTTATAAAGGTATTTTGTCGGGAAAGGAAAGCAACGTATATTTTTTGTAACTTATTGTTATTAAAGGTTTTTTTTATAGGGAATGCTCATGACACCATTCGTCCTTCATTCTAAACCAGCAGAAGAGAAAGATATTCAATCATTAAGAAATGATGATTTAGTTGAAGCTGAAACTCATATAGACGCAAATGTTGCAAGATATTGCGACATTTTGAAAAGTATTGAGGAATTGATTGAGGTAAATGGTATTATTATAATTGTTATCATTGTTATTTTACATATACGTATTCTTAATAATAATAATAATAATAATAATAATAATATAGGAATGTATTCAAAAACAAAAACGAGGTAATGATGAATATAATTTCTAAAATTTAATAAATCACTTTTTACTCTGTATTAAATAAATACTATATATGATTTAAAGGTTTATTGGATCAATCAAGACTTAAACGATTGGTTCCATCCATATCAATGTTCCATACACCATTGCCATTATGTGATTCATTTTTACTGGCAAATGCTAAACATTCAATTGCAGCACGTCGATTTGTTCCGCCAAGCTTTAATGACATAAGAAGGTAAATAAATCACACATATGTATTTATTATATATTGTGTAGTGTGTTTATAAATTTATTTTTATTCCAATGATGTTCTTTCAATTTTGTAGAATATTGAACACAGCACAGGTAATAAAATTATTTAAAGATTATTTTGTTTTTAAGAATAAGAAATTATAATTTATAAATATATTATAGATTATAGCAATTGCTCCTAAACTTAGATTGATAACTTTGTAAGTATTTGGAGAGGTTAGAGAAATCAGAGAAATATATATCGTTTATATAAAACATGCTAATGACAGTATTTATTTTAGTGATGGTGATATGACACTTTATGGTGATGGCAAAGACTTTGAACATAATTCAGCATTAGTTAATCTTCTTGTACAATTACTCAAATTTAACCTTCATGTGTGTGTGGTTACAGCAGCTGGTTATCCAGGGGAGGCACATCGTTATGAGAAAAGATTATCTGGATTGCTAAAAGGATTTGCTAATGCAGAACTACCAAAAAATGTTTGTGAGAGATTTTTTGTTTTAGGTAAACTGATCTTTCTTTTGTTTTAGGAATTATAACAAAAATTCATCAAATAAGATAATTATATATTATTATTATGTAGGTGGTGAATGTAATTATCTATTTCAATGTACAGATGATTATCATTTAAAATATATTCCAGAATCGTAAGTCTATTTGAGATCAAAATATTAATTCTTGGTATTTGATTGATATAAAGTAAATATATATATATATTTATGTTATTAATTTAGTACATATCATCCAGAATCAATTTTATCATGGAACGATGAACAAATTCAAGCGATCTTAAATGTTGCACAGAAAAGTCTGCAACGTTGTATTGATGATATGAAACTTCCATGTACAATATTAAGAAAGAGTAAAGCTGTTGGTAAGACTATATGAATTCATTAATCATTATTATTATTATTTAAATATTGATTATAATAAAAATTTACAGGCATTGTTCCAAAGCCTGACGTAAAAATATTTCGGGAACAATTGGTTAGATGAGATCTGTGATATATTGTTGTTATTATTATTATATAACAAATTCTTATTAATCAAGTTTATTTTTAAAATAGGATGAATGTGTGCTTTCAACACAACATAGATTGACTACATATTTAGCAACACCACCAGGCAAGGAACATCCAATACCATATTGTGCATTTAATGGTGGAAGTGATGTATGGGTAGATATGTATGTATATTAATATAAATATATTTATATTTATATAATACATACATTTATTCATTAGTTCACTCTCATTATTTATTTATTTTAGTGGAAATAAACTTATTGGTGTTCAAGTTTTACAAGAATTCTTTAACACTAAAAAAGCAGAAACATTACACATTGGTGATCAGGTAAGATAAATTTGTTAAAATTAAACATTTTTTTTGTTAATCAATAAGTAATCGATCAATAAAATATTTTATGAAAAAAGTTTCTTTCTACTGGAAATGATTATGCAACCAGAAATCAATGTTGTACATTATGGATAGTGAATCCTGAAGAAACTCAAACAGTTTTGGTGGAATTAGTAGCTTTGTTGGAAGCAAAGAGATCAGAGAGATATACTATTGAAAATTAATTATTATTTTATTTTCCAACTAATTCATCTTCTTTGATTCATTTTATTCTAGTTTCTGTTGCAATGAAACCATTGTATTATTATTATTGTAATTTTAATCTTTAGATATTTTCTTATAATAAATATTGATTTTTTTATTCAGAAAAAAATTTGAATTGTTATTAATATTTACATTATACAATGAGACACACACATAAAAAAATATATTTATAGATGGTAGTTTTTTCAATCAGTTTCATCTTTATTATGTATAGAAATTTGCTCTTTTCAATAATTGAATAAACTCATCCTGATCAACTTCACCATCGCCATTAAGATCTGCCACTTCAATCATTTCATGCAACTGTTCATCATTTATTTCTTCTCCAAGTTCTTTAGCAACACATTTTAAATTTTTAAAAGATATTTTGCCTGTATCATCATCATCAAATAATTTAAATATCTTTAAAAATTCTTCATCTAAATTTCTTTCAGACTTTATAAAAAATTTTTTTATTAATTTAAAAAATTAATCACATAGAATTAATCACTGCACATAACCAACTAACCATTTTAATTGCCATGAGCCTGCAAAAATTTTCAAACGATATATTTTCATTCTCATCAAATTCATACTGTTCCAATAAATTCTTAATTTCATCCTTTTTAATTTCAATTCCTAAAATTCTCATGGCAACTTTAAGATTTTTTGTTTCCATTTCACCCGTTTTTTCTGTATCAAATGTTTCAAAAGCCTCTCTTAATTCTTCCAATTGCTCTGAACTCAAATCGAACTCTGTTTTGAGTCTTTTTGTGACATGTTTCTTAGTTGTTGAATTTCTATTACTCTTATTGTTACTGGTGGTGGTGGCGATTTTTTTTGATTTTGATTTCTTATTCTTATATTTATCCTTTCTACTATCATCAGGTTCATAAGAGGAATCCGAATTATAAGGTGAATCGCTTGAAGAAGATGGTGAATATGGTGGTTCAGATGATGGCTCAGAATAAGTTAATGACTCGTTATCATTTATTTTTTCATTTGACTATAAATATATTTGGATGAGTCAAGAATATATATATATAATAATAATAATAATTGATCTTTTACCATTTTTTGAAGAATTATTTTATTGGAAAGGCGATGATTTAGAATTATTATTATCTTAAAATGGGATATTGTACTACACAGAGATTTCAATCACCTCCTTTGACTATTTTTTGGCTTGTTATTACATTATCAACCCTATAAAAATCAGCCTTATGACTGCAACCAAAAGGTTGATAAAGTAATTAATCTAGTGGAACCTAGAAAAAAAATGTCAACTGGTGATCAAAATACCTAAGAGAGATTTTAACAATTGTTTGATAAAAAGACAAAATTTTCTTGCTTGGTAAATGGAAATTGAAAATCTGTGAATTGTGTGGTGGAGAAGGAAAGGAACTGTAATGCTACTTTTCTGCAAAAAACTTCCAAAAAATGAATTGTTCTGCTTAACTTTTAAAGCAATGGTTTCTTTACCTATCTATCTATACTCAATGGAAATGTATGTGTATTACTAGGCGAATTTTTTTGTCATTGATTCCTATACCAAAGGTATTAGTTGCAATCATAATCTGATTGTGTCATCTCCATATTAACCAATTATATGTAAGGTATTCATACATTCATAAAAAACTTTATGTTGGTTTTGGACGAGTGATATCTTTAAATTCATCTCTTACAAGTGGATGAATATTATTATAAAGGTATTATTGCCTCTTATAATCCAGAAGAGGACCAATATAAATAAAGCTTTAATTTCTTTATAACTTCAGAAATATCTGCTTTCCTAATTTTCAATAAAATAAATTCAGCACAAAGATCCATTGGCAACTTCCTGAGTTTTGACAACATGGGGTTTAGATTAGTGTTGGCTGCTAAAACTATTTTGAAGAGGCGAAAGTCAAAACTAAAATTAAGAGTTATATGTCAAAACTAAATCAAAAGTCAATAGTCAAAAGTCAAAACTAGTTTCAACTTATGGTGAAACCTTTTTGACTTTTGCACAGTTATGAAATCCTCTAGTTTTGGAAACCAATGCTAATTTTGATATATTCCTTTGTCTTAAGTCTGGTCTTATTATGGTCTAAGTGATGGTAAAATAGTAGATATGGGGTATGGATATGATATGGATAATGAGGAATCTAGTTATATGGGACCTGAAAGGCCTGATTCTACAAGAGCAAAGAAATTTTCAAAACTTGATGGCCAACAACCAGATCATCAATTAAATTTTTTAATCTATTGTTTTGCATAATAATAAATAAGTTATACATATTATTATTATTAGAAGTCAAGGGATGCCATGAATTGATGATGAAATTAATTTACTTGCCCTATTATTTTTCTTTATTTGTTTTATTATTTATTTATTTTTTTTAAATGAAAATTATATCTATTTTTATAGCCACTAAATAATAGTATTATTTTTTGTAATTTCATAATTTATTAGTTGTTCAGAGATAATGACTAATGACAATCCTTTTTTTAACAAATATTTTAACTGATTAGGTAAGGGAATAAACCAGCATATTTTTTCTTTTAGGGAGAGAAATTAATTATAATAATAAACAACTCCATTTTTCTTTCTTGTCAATATTTGGTTGTGTAATATGCAAGCAGTGATTATACAGTTCAAAAATTCATTTATACCAAATAAATTTTATCACTAAATACTGAAGACCTTGCATGATCTTCAATGGCCCTTTTGGTAAAATAAACCCACATGTATTTCTCTGAAGATTATACATGCATGTATGGATTTAGATACAAATATACCTGAATAACCTAATGAATAATCTCTGATAGATTAAACAACCCATATAAAGATTTATAAATAAATCTCCTGTTTGCTCAATGTAATAGAGCACAGCTTTATGAGGGCATGAAGATTTTTTTAAAAATCCATTTACATGTCCAATCATGTGCAAGTATATCTTCATCCAATTTGTTAGATAATTATATAAATTTTACTAGCATAGAAAATATCAAGTAAGTATATTGTATGATATTTATTCAGGAATGACCTACAGGTCCATTTCATTTCATCCCTCTATACCATTATTATCTATCCTTGCTTGATATTTCTTTTTAATACAGTCAAACCTTGTCATAACGAATTTCGAACTAGTACAAATTTAGAAGGTATCTGCAGAAATATCCAATCAAATACAATATTTCTGCAGATACCTTCTAAATTTGTACTAGTTCGAAATTCGTTATGACAAGGTTTGACTGTATCTTTTAGCGAATAAATAACACTTAATAATTTAATACTGTAGTAAGGAACTTTATTATTTTTTTACTAATGCAAAATAAAAAAATTTAAAAACTAATAAATATTATCAATTTTTTTATAAATTTTTGAGAACCTAAACTATACATCAATATTATTTTTCTTGTAAAAATTTCAAAAGAAAATAAAAATAAAAATATAAAAATAAAAATAAAAATAAAATAAAAATATAAAAGAAAAAATCCTAATGATGAGGTTTTGAATGATGTTTTTTTACGCATGAGCAATAATCATTTTCACACCAACAACTTCCACATTTACATCCACAATGAGGGTAGCAAGGAGCATATTGGCCATTTGTATAATCACTCCCGGTGTAACATTCGTCATGACATTGATATGATTGTGATGCGACGAAAGGAATGAGAATTAAGAAGAACAAGAAAAATACAGTTTTCATTTGCATCTTGTTTTTTTTTTGTTTTTTGTTAATGTTTGTTAATTTTTACTTTTTTTTTTCCGTAAAGAAAATTGTATGGTTTTGATTGTATAGAAATAAGTGTGTATTTATAGAGGATTGTTATCAATTTTATCAGCCGAGGCTTCTCTTTATTTCTTTAAACTTAACATTCATTCAAAAGTAAATATTTGAGAGTTTTAGGAATTGCTTACTATATCGGTACAAATAGCTTGTTACACAAAGATGTTGATTTTTATCATCTTCGTATAATGGAAAGGCTATTTACTATTGAAACTATTGAAAGAGTCCAATATTATTAATATTAATATCCTAAACTTCAATTCGGATTTATGATTCCGAAATTGTAAACAATAAATAATCAAGTTTTGAGAAATAATTCAAGTACACAAAATAAATAGAAACATCCACGAATGCACACTTTTCTAAATTATTTTTAATTGGTTTACCATAGAATTGATTGAAATTTACTAATTTTTAAAAAATCTCGTTTTTAGCAAATAATACTTGTAACAGAAACTATAGTTATTAGTCATCAGAGTTCTATAATCGTTTCTGTTATTGTAGTTTAAATCGTAATGCTTGCAATTGCTCTTCTAGAGTATTTTATATTTGGGGAAAAAGAAACTCTATGAGAAAATATGGGATAAACTATTAGCATATATTAGCAGATATCCATACTTAATAAAATATAGTACGTAATATTATTTAATAAATATAGACGTAAACTATTGTAAATTGGATGCTAATTCCTTAATAATGTGCATTTAACAATTTGCTCAATGGTAAATAACATTCGGATGAGATATATCACACTAGGTTGTTATTCGACTTAATGGTCCAAAGAATTTGTTCGCTGAATTGAAATATTCGTAAAGAGTTCTGTTACTAATATACCAAAATTATTTTTTTAACGTTAAATTAAATTTGAATGTGTTCAGTTTATTATGAAATCTTGTCAATCTTGACCAAGGAAATACAAATAAGGAGATAGTTTGTATAAAAAACGCCAACCGTTCTTATATATGTGTATATTAGCTTTAGTTTTACAAATATATTCAAATTTTAATTGAATATATTTTGTTTTGGGATTAGTATTAAAAAAAGTATGAGAATCTGGTATTAGTTATAATATAGAAACTAGATGAATGCTTTATGGCAGTGACGAAGTCACTGGTGTTACTTGTTATTTGCTGTTTTAAAGTCTCTATTCAAATAAAAGTTACTATTTGAAGAAAAATTTCTGG